CTCAGGGCTGGGGGGGGCTCAGGGTTGAGGCAGGGGGTTGGGGTGCAGGAGGGGGTCAGGTCTCTGGGCTGGGGGTGCAGGCTCTGGGGTGGGGCTGGGATGAAGGGTTTGGGGTGCAGGAAGGGGCTCCAGGTTTGGTGGGGCTCAGGGCTGGGGCAGGGGATCGGGGTGCAGGATTGGGGTACAGGCTTACCTCGGGCAGCTCCCGGTCAGCGGCACAGCGGGGGTGCTAAGGCAGGCTTCCTGCCTGTCCTGGCACCGCAGACCGTGCTGTGCCCTGGAAGCGGCCAGCAGCAGGTGCAGCTCCTAGGCAGAGGTATGCAAGTGGCTCTGCACAGCTCTCGCACGCAGGCACTGCCCCCTCTCCCTCCAGCTTCCAATGGCCGCAGTTTCCAGCCAATGGGAGTGAGGAGCCGGTGCTTGGGGCGGGGGCAGCACACGGAGCCCGGTGGGCTCCCCCCCCCACCTAGGAGCCAGACCTGCTGCTGTCCGCTTCCGGGGCACAGCGCAGTGTCAGAACAGGTAGGGACTAACCTGCCTCAGCCAGGCAGCACCACCGACGGGACTTTTAACGGCCCGGTCGGCAGAGCTGACCAGAGCTGCCGCGACCCAGTGCCTTCCATTCCGCAACCCAGTACTGGGTCATGACCCGCAGTTTGAAAACCACTGGCCTAGAGGCCACTTGCCTTAACACTAAGGCACAAAGATCTGATGGGACTATCTGTTACGCACCTAAGGCCTGTGAGCCTATTCCTCGAGGCCGCCTCTTCATCTCATTCCATCACCCCCAGAAAGAGTCTTTGCACCCCTATCTCACATGCCTTGGTTACTGTTCAAGTTGTCTCTGCACCCCAGGCTGGGCAACCAAAAGGAATCTACTACACCCCAGGCCCAGAGCAGTTACTTTACAGATGCATGGGTGTGTATGGGGATAGGATCACAGAAATGCAGGGCTAGAAGGGACCTCGAGAGATCGTCTAGTCCTGCTCCCTACGCTGAGATAGGACCAAGTAAACCTAGAGCATCCCTGACAGGGGTTTGTCCAACCTGTTCTTAAAAACCACCAACGATGGGGATTCCACAACCTCCTTTGGAAGCCTGTTCCAGAGCGTAACTATCCTGAGACTTAGAAAGTTTTTCCTAATATCCAACCTAAGTCTCCCTTCCTGCAGATGAAGCCCATTACTTCTTGTCTTATCTTCAATGGACATGGAGAACAACTGATCCCCATCCTCTTTCCAACAGTCCTTCACATATTTGAAGACTGTTACCAGACCCCCTCCCTCAGTGTTCTGTTCTCAAAATTAAACATAGCCCCCTTTGCTCCAAACCATTCAGCGCTGTCACCCCTGGAACATGCTAACTTGCCCCCAGGACATCTCTGCTCCTAGGCCAGCTCATCTGATTACCTCCTAAGGGAGCACAGCTCCTTCGCTCGTTAGAGAAACGCCTACACCATTGACCTGTATTCATCCCTGCAGTGTATTCCTGATAGCCCCACGCCCCTTTGATAGCATCGCCCTTCAGGAAGTGCCTTTGTCCCCATTAGTCCATGACGCATCCGTGCATTTCTCCCTGGAACATTCTATTACCTCTCAGTCCATTCCTCCCTTCCCAGCCCTTTCGTATCTAGGACCAGCTGTGAGTGTCCTTCCACCCTAGACACTATTCCACCTGGAGCCACATGGTCCCCAGGCTGCTTGCTTGTCTCTAAAGGAACCTCTGAGTTCCCTTCCTCAGCGGAGTGAAGCCTCCCCACTCAGGATGCTGAGGAGCAGCAGAAACGCTCACTGCCCCTTCCTATTACTGTACGGTTGGGAATGTGTCTTTCCAGGTGTTTTTTGCAGAGCTGATGAAGGAAGCCAGAAGCGGGAAGAGCATCCCAGAGGATGTGGTGAAAATGATCTTCTCCAACATCTCCTCCATTTACCAGTTCCACGCCCTGTTTTTCCTGCCAGAGCTGCAGAAACGCATGGAGGATTGGTGAGTTAGGGGGAGCCAGGACGCCTGGGTTCTATTCCTAGAATGAAGGCGGGAGGGGAGCACTTGTGAATTGGGGCTTACGATCAAACCTGAATGTTTACCCGGTCTGCTCTGCAAGCCAGTGTGCTGGAAAGCACTTTCTCAAGACCATTTGAGCCAGATGCTGATACTCTTCCTCATGCTGAGTATGACCTTATTTCATTGACTCATGGAGTCAAGTACTACTCAGTGTGAGTAAGGGAACCGGATTCCTGCCCATTATTATTTTTATTTGCAGGTGCTTGAAGCCCGCTTGACATTTTGGCCTCCATACACAGTTAGCAAATCTGATGTGGGTTAATTTTTTTGTAATGATGTAGGAAGTGCCAGATTATTTCCCCAGGGCTGCCAGAATCTCCCCGAACATGGACAGTAGTAGTGTCAGCTTTATGTACACACACAGAGACACAGGTGTTTACCCATGAAAGCTTATGCCCAAATAAATCTGTTAGTCTTTAAGGTGCCACCAGACTCCTTGTTGTTTTTACAGAGACACACTGTCTCTCTCTCAACCCTGCGCTATATAAACAACCCTGGGCACGAGAAGGGTGTTCAGTCTCCATGACCCTTTCACCCTTGGCCTCTCTGCTGAGACTTTCAACCAAAGATGATGGAGACACTGAGGCACAGGGGGAGTGACTTCCCCAAGACCATATAGTGATCAGCGGCAGAGCTAGGAGATCTCATGATGCCTAGTTCAGGACCTGTCCAGGGTCAGTTGTGATGGGACTTTAGTACCATGGACACCTGCCCTCTAGAAACCCAATTGATGCCACCAATTCAGCTCCCCGATGCCACTGAGTAGTCATCAGATGATAATGCTGAGTGATGACTCACTACCAGCCAAGGCCAGCAATCCAGATGTGAATTCCCACTACCAATTCCCAGCTCCCCAGACACTGATAACTCAGCAGCTAGATAGAGTGATTAATAATCATGGTTATTATTAAACACCTAGCTCATTTATAGAGCTCAACGCGCTTTACAAAGGAGTGTCAGTATCATTACCCCCATTTTTACACATGGGGAAACTGAGACACGGAGCGGTGATGTGGCTTACCTCAGGTCACCGGCAGGCCAATGGCTGAGTCAGTAATTGACCTCTGGTCTCCTGTGTCTCAGTCCTGTGCTCTACCCGCTAGGCCACATTACCTCAGTCTTGGGTTGAGCCAGAACCTCGTAGGGTGCTTGCAGGAGCCCTGTTGGGTTTGACACAGAGGGATGAGAGCTGAAGATCCGTTGAAACACTGTCTGAAATGTGTAATGACTCTTAATGCAACCCCTCCCCTGAACCAATCTGGCCCCCTCACTTCCCCGGCCTCTTGCTATGTCAGTGGCAGGTGAAAAGCCGATTCAGTTTCTCTGGGCAGCTTCTGCGGCCCATTCCACTGACCTGGCAGAGGTGCTGATCTCCCGGGTTCTGCCGGCAGGAGCTCCAATCCCAGGATCGGGGATGTCATCCAGAAGCTAGCCCCGTTCCTCAAGATGTACGGCGAGTACGTGAAGAACTTCGACAAGGCGGTTGAGCTGATCACCACCTGGTGGGAGAAGTCCCCCCCCTTCCAGGAGTTCATTGTGGACATTCAGGTGACGCTCCACTAGATCTGGAAAGAGGCTCAGAACCACCTGGCCTCCTTGGCTTTGATGCTCAGCATGTTTCCTGGTGGAGCCCCTTCACCCAAACTGGCTCCTCCAGGCCGGGCTGAGGCGGGTCGGGGTGTGTGCGAGGAGCCCGCACTTCCACTGTGTGGGTGTGTCTCTCCCTCTAATTTTGGTTCTCTGCTGTCCCTTTCCAGAAGAGGGAAGTCTGTGCTAACTTGACCCTGCAGCACCACATGCTGGAGCCGGTACAGAGGATCCCACGCTATGAACTCCTGCTGAAGGATTACGTCCGGAAATTACCTCCAGAGTCACCAGACCGGCATGACGCAGAGAGTAAGAGCTCACCCTGGGGGCATGGGCCAGTTGTGGGGCTGGGAGTCAGGAGACATGGGGTCTAGTGGCAGCCCTGCAAGTGCCCCTCTCCACAATGCGGGTAGTGACATTTATACCCCTTTGCGAGGCACTTTGAGAGCCTCAGATAAAAGGGCAGAACAACTACAGTCCCGCCAGCGGACGTCTCTGGGAGACCTGAAGTGACTCAGACCAGGGGTTCACTAGTTAGGATGCCCTAGAACTGGCACTGCTAACCACAATTCCAAAAGTCTTGTGATGTTCTCCTTGGCCCATTTGGTAGCAAGAACACGGAGAATCAGACGGCAGGTGTAACCTGCTTCCTGGACCCCCCTAGCTGACATCTAGTACCAGAGACCAGCGTTTAGCTCCTTAAAGTCAAATCACCCAAGTGATCGACGTTGTCTTCAGTAGCATCACTTGAGCGTGTTGACTCCAGCCTGTCTTCTTCAGGGTGTGGAAGGGCTGTTGCTAGAGAGCTGAGGCCCGCATGTGGAAGATGCTGTGATTTTTGGTGCCTGGTTTGAGACACCTTGCATCTGATTGTCAGATTGTTCTGAGCCTCTGCGGTTCCCACTTCAGTTGGAGCAGAGGGGCCGTCAGCAGGATAAGAAAAGCTGTGTTCCCCTTAGCGATCCCTGATGGCCCTGGAGGCAAAAGTATTCATATTACCAATCTGTGGCCTCCCAGGACTTCGCTGTGCAGCACACCCCGACCACTCCACAAAGTTGAGCAGTTCTGATTCCATCCAGTAAAGGGCAGTGGTGAGACACCCACATTCTCAGCAGAATTGGGCTGCATTAGTAGGAGCGTTGTCAGCAGATTGAGGGAAGTGATTATTCCCCTCTATTCGGCACTGGTGAGGCCACATCTGGAGCACTGTGTCCAGTTTTGGTCCCTGCACTACAGGAGGGATGTGGACAAATTGGAGAGAGTCCAGCGGAGGGCAACGAAAATGATTAGGGGGCTGGGGCACATGACTTACGAGTGTAGTAAGATGAGGCCCTGAAACATAAACTCTTGTGTTAGAGGCCCAGTCTGAGGCCTGAAGCCTGAACCAAAGTACTTCCAGGCATTGCTAAGCAAAAGCTGGGCTGTGAGCCAGAGGCAGGCCCCACTCACAGAAGTTGGCAAGAAGAGGGTTGCTAGAAGAAGGTGCATCCACACATAAGTGCTAATAAGAGGAACTTGTGCCAAGATGCTATCAGAACACTCCCCAGAGATAACTAGGAACAGGCAGGTGCATCTTAAAGACAGGGTCGAAAGGACAACATGATGGATAGATTTGATTGAACCAACATGTAACAGGAGAAGCAGCACCCTAATGAGTAAAGGGGCTGCACCTCAATACGTCAGGAGGGATGAGTAAGCTGTTCTGCACCTTTATAAGAATAGGTCTGGAAGTGCACATCGTCGTCCAGCCTAGGGGGCAGTGGAGTGTCCCACCACTGACTGAGTTGTGTCCATTGCCAGGGGCACATATTCGTAGTATGTTCTGTAGAGTATATAGGAAACTATTACTGTGCTTCGTTTGACAATAAACCTGGCCGGGTGCCTTCGTACCTTACTAGAGTCTGTGGTCTTTGGGGGTTCTCTTGGGGTCTGCGGTGTCAACTATCTGCGCAGAACTGGGGCAGCACACAGAGGGAACATGCACGTAGCTGACTGTTATCATCATGGAACAAGAGCAGAGCACCACACCGGTAGCTACTGACAACAATGAGGAGAGGCTGAGGGAATGGGGTTGTTTAGTCTGCAGAAGAGAAGAATGAGGGGGGATTTGATAGTAGCCTTCAACTACCTGAAGGGGGGTTCCAAAGAGTATGGAGCTTGGCTGTTCTCAGTGGTGGCAGATGACAGAACAAGGAGTAATGGTCTCAAGTTGCAGTGGGGGAGGTCTAGGTTGGATATTAGGAAACACTATTTCACTAGGAGGGTGGTGAAGCACTGGAAGGGGTTCCCTGGGGAGATGGTGGAATCTCCATCCTTAGAGGTTTTTAAAACCCGGCTTGACAATGCCCTGTCTGGGATGATTTAGTTAGGGATTGGTCCTACTTTGAGCAGGGGGTTGGACTAGATGACCTCCTGAGGTCTCTTCCAACTCTGATATTCTATGATTCGCCTCTGCGCTGTTTGCCTCTGCACTGTACTTTGGGGATTCTAAGCCTTTGTTTCTTTTCTGGTTTCATTGCAGAAGCCCTGGAAATGATTTTCTCTGCAGCCAAACACTCAAATGCGGCCATTGCAGAAATGGTGAGTACCAGCCCTCACGCTGCTCTTAATTATGATTTGTATCGTGCTAGCTCCTGGTTTCCCCCCAGCCAGAGGCCAGGACCCCACTATGCTAGACGCTGTATATATATGTAACAGAGAGCACCCTGACCATATTCCATTCCCAAGCACCTGTGCTGGAACAGGGAGGGTCTCAGGGGTACAGGGCTGCTGCCCTCCATCACTGCAATATCTGAGCACCTCCTGATCATTCTCCTCACGACCCCTCTGGGAGGCAGGGCAGGGCTGTTATCCCTATTGTACAGATAGGTAATCGAGGCACAGAGAGATTAAGGGATTTGCCCAAGGTCACACAGTGAGTCTGTGGCAGAGCATGGAATTGTCCTGATCCTCTGTGTCCCAAGCTAGTGTCCCAGGAGGCCAGGCAGGCAATTGGAGAATACATGGTGTAGCGGTTAAAGCAGAACCGGGGTCAGGAGAGAGAGATTCTATTTGTGACCTGCTGTGTGACCTCGCTCCACCTCTGTGTGCCTCAGTTTCTTTATATGTCAGAGAAGGTGATGATCCCTTAACTGCGTCTCCTGAGGTTGTGAGGTTTGATTCATTAATGGTGGTTAAAGTGCTTTGAGATCCTCGGATGGAAGGCAACAGGGAAGTGCAAAGTGTTACAATGGAAGTGCCGGGCTCAGTGCAGAAATCACTGGATTATGTTCTCTGGCCTGTGCTATGCAGGAGATCAGATTAGACCAGAATGATTCTGTCTGGCCTTGAAGTCTATTATTTCCCAGCAGTCCTCGTGCTGTTCCCAGTTGGTATGCAAATGTCACACTGGTCTCTGAGAGACAAGGCGGGTGAGATGGTATCTTTGATTGGACCCGCTTCTGTTGCTGAGAGGGACATGCTTTCAAGCTTACCTAGAGCTCTTCTTCAGGTCGCAAGACCTTGTCTCTCTAATGTCCTGGGACCAGCGCCACTGCAGCAACACTGCAAACACTTGTCTCTGCCCGTAGGTGAATAGCGGTTGCTTGTGGCTCAGAAAACCGGCAGCGGATGAGCCTTTACACTGCAGTGATAGGGAGTGGGTGGGTAGCCACATTGCAAGGCTCATTAACCTGCATCTGGGGCATCCTTGTATTCTCAGGCCCTCAGACGGTGTAATTCAGTGGAGCTAGGTCGATATACACCAGCTGAGGATCTGGCCCCAGATTTCTGTGTAGACAGTATTGGAAGCTGCTCTCAGAACGGGTTAAGGAGAAATCAGTCCCAGCCCAGCCTGTGCAGGCCGTGTGCTAAGACATGGAACCCCTGCATTCTGAGGTAGGCATGAGCCGCCTGTGCCTAGGGAAAGAGAAACCTGCTTGTGCTGGGGTCTGAAACAGATGTGCCTGTCCAGAAAGATCCAACCCATCCCATCCATCTGGAGTGAGTGGCCAGCTCCATGTGGCCAGAAGAGGAGGGAGACATCCTGCCTTGCCAGATCAGGGGTGGGCTGTAGTTCCTTGGCCGAAGTGAAGGAGAAACCCAGCCTGCCCTGGTTCTGGGGTGTCCGACCTCTTCCTTAGAGACCCTCCTGCAAGGGGAGGAGACGTTGAAAGCCAAGCTGGTAGATTTGGGGTGTTTTTTCTCCCTCTCCCCATCACCGGATCCTTTTCCTCCTCTTCTCCATTGGCCCAATCCTGCCGAGTTCTCAGTGCCTCCTGCACAGGGCTGAGCACTGCTGACTCCTAGGACAAACAAAGGAAGTCGTGGCACTCAGCACCTCTAGGATGGAGGCCAAGGTCAGTGGGTGCTGAGGGTGCTCAGCACCTTGCAGCATCAGCCCCCCTGGTGTTTTTCCTCCCTCATCCCCCTCTGTTTTCTTGGCTCCCCAGGAGCGTTTGCAGAACCTCTGGGAGGTGTATCAAAGGCTGGGGCTGGAAGATGATATCGTCGACCCTTCCAACGAGCTCATTAAGGAGGGCCCCATTCAGAAAATCTCCTTCCGCAACAACACTACGTCGGAGAAGTATCTCTTCCTGGTAGGAGGGCGGCTGGGCCAGCCGAGGCGGGGTGGGAGGGCAGGGAAGGAAAGGAGAGGGTCAGCAGCACTACGAAGCGGAAGGCCGTTTCTGGGAGGAGGATCGATGGAAGAGGACAGGGTTGAGGGGAGAGAGAGAACAGAAAACCCTGACCGCTCGCAGGCTTGGCCGGGCTGGAGACTGTGAGCCTGATGTCCCCGCTGCTTTGGTCCCAGTGTCCAGGGCAGCCCGGGTGCATGGACTGTACAGATCTGGGAGTGTTGGACACCCACCGTGCCCAGGTGTAAATGGTACCATAAGGGGCAAAGCATGGAGGTCCGGGCCTTTTGCTTCCAAAGCCTCTGATCCCCCACACAAGGGAACCCTTCGGTTGCTCAGACAGTGCTTTGGAAATCCCTCGTCTTTGGGGGGAGTGTGGGGGGGTGTTGGGGGGAGGAGGGCAGACGAGCCATTTGAGTTCATCACTCAATTCCAATTCCATTGGGATTTCGGCCCCTAACTCCATAGGCTCCTTTGAACCCCCGCACCCCACCCCAAGCGTTGGTACCTATAGATCCAGAGCATGTGCTGCCAAACGCTGTTTTGTTGGACATTTGCCCGGGGCGCCTGGAGATCCTGACTGGCGCTGCCAGAGGATGGTGGCCCGGTCCTGCCCCGCCCATGCTCAGTGTACCATTGCTGCATGGTCCCCTCCAGCAGCTCACATCTGCTTCCTCACTCAGTTCAACAACATGCTGCTGTTCTGCGTGCCGAAGGTCATCCAGGTGGGGGCGGAGTTCCAGGTGCGCTGGCGGATTGATGTGGAGGGCATGAAGGTCAGACAACCCTTACACGTTATTATCGCCTACATTTATACAGGGAGCAGCTTTCCCCCGCCCCAGAGCACCACTGAAAGGCAGCCACCTCTGGGGCGGAACATGGCTGCTGTTTAATAGGGCACAGCAACACTGTATGACAGGAAGTGAAGAACAACTCTGTGTCCAGTGGAAACTATAGGAAGGGGTTGAGGGAAGCAGAATGTGATTTGGCCAGGGCAGCTGGTCTAATGCTTGGGAAAACATTCCCAAGCGACCAGGGCCTTGAATTTCCACCTCACCTGAACGAGCACCTCCCCAGTAGCACGACATGCACTGCTGACACAGAGGGAAGAGCGCCTCGTGCTGCATTGCCCACTCTACTTTCTGGAGCACTTGGGGTGTTTTTCTTCTCCCTTTCACGTCCCTCGTGCAAATACTGCCAGGTGTGACCCTGCTTAGCTCCCGGTATCTAAGATCAAAGCCTGCGCTGTTATGGCATACAGCAGCTCCCTGCAGACTCAGGGCATGGCTATACTTGCAGATGTAGAGCACTTCGAGTTAAACCAGCCTTTGTAGAGCACAGTAGGGAAAGCGCTGCAGTCTGTCCACACTGACAGCTTCAAGCGCACTGGTGTGGCCACATTTGCAGCACTTGCAGCGGCATTGGGAGCGGTGCATTATGGGCAGCTATCCCAGCATGCAAGTGACTGCAAATGGGGAGAGGGGTGGAGTGTGACAGGGAGTGTGTGGTGTGTATGTGGGGGGAGAGAGAGTGGGTTTTGGCGGGCTGAGAGCATGTCAGCATGCTGTCTTGTAAGTTCAAACAGCAGCAGACCCTCCTTCCCCCCCGCCTCTCTCTCTCACACACAGCATTCCACACTAATGGTTGCTTTGTCTCAGAGCAGATAAGCAGCCGGCTGTCAGAAATGGAGCTTTCAAACACCATATCCGCATTCCTACAGCGAGTTCAAAACAATGACAAGAGTGGCCACTTGACTTAAGGGGATTATGGGACGTTTCCGGAGGCCGATCAGAGCGCAGTAATGCAACACCTCATTCACACTGGCACCGCGGCGCTCCAGAAGGGGCACAGCAAACGTTATTCCTCTCGCCGAGGTGGAGTACCAGCAGCGCTGTAGCCGTGGAGTCAGAGCGCTCTACGTGCCTTGCCAGTGGGGACTGGGAGTGAGCTAGTGCGCCCGGGGCTCCTTTATTGTGCTGTAACTCGTAAGTGTAGCCAAGCCCTCGGAGCAGGCGTTCCTGGAGCTACGTCCAGAGAGCAGGCAAAGAGAGTTCTTAGGAGCCACAGTCAGCAGTGTCCATAGGGTCATGTTCAATCTGTGCTTGGGCCCTGAATCCATGGACTTAGAGCCATGGCATAGACCATACACACTTAGAGCCCTCGCAGCCACCGGGTGTCTGTACAGCTGAGAGGGAGACCCAGACTGGACCTTCCATGGGGCCGGCGGGCTCTGGCTCTAGTTCTAATGTCCCTGTCCCCCCCCCGGGATTCCAGGTGCGGGTACTGAAGGATGTGGAATTCCCTCACTCCTTCCTGGTCTCAGGGAAGCAGCGGTCGCTGGAACTGCAAGCCAGGTAAGGGAGTGAAGGGCCCTCCTTCTCCAGCCCCAGCTGAGGAGCCCAGGGACATGCTCTAACCACTGTCTCCCCTTTGGCACAGGTCGCAGGAGGAGATGAACGCCTGGATAAAGGTACAACTGCGCGCCGCAGCCCCTGGTCCCTGGCCGGGGGGGAGTCATGTGATTTTAAATAAGGAGATACAGACTCGCCTCCTGTGGGTCCCAATCCGTGCTCTGCCTCTGCAGGTGGGAAGAGTTCCTTGCGCGCAGGCTCCAGCTTGCAACGGGCAGGACAGGCGGCGGAGGGGCTGTGCGAGGATCTGCATCCGTGGGGTGCTGTGGGGCCGTGCTCCAGGATGGTCTCCTGCGTGGCAGTGCAAAGGGGTGGGTTTGGGGGTGTGTGGTGGCTTTCTGCGCTGGTGTGTTGCTCTCTGGGGGAGGAGTCCACCCCCTGCCATTCCTGCGTTGGTTCCCTGACCAAGCCCCACTTAATCAGATGTAGTATCCGTGGCCCCTGCAATCCGTGGTCTTTGCTGTGGCAGCTTCCAAGGGGGCCAGTTGGTGCCAAAAGTGGAGGTGGTATTTGCACTCCCATGGGGAACTGGCCTGAGACCAGCTGCTCACGGAATTGGGCTGCCGTTGGGATGGGCTGTGACAGCCCTAACCCCCCTTTGTTCCTCAGGCCTTCCAGGACGCCATTGCCAAGAAAGAGAAGCAGAGCGAGAGCTTCAAGACAGCAGTTCACGGGCCTGATGGGGAGGTCCAGGAATTTGCTGTAAGCTCCCCCCCCCCCGGTCCTGTGGCTACTAGCTGCTCTGGGCTAAGGCTCTCGAAGCATCCTTTTACCCTCAGGAAGCCCTGAAGAGCTGGGGAGAGTCCTGTGGGGACGGGCAAGCTTCCCCCTGCCCCACGGGGTAGTAGCAGAGAACGGCTGGAGGCAGAGGAAGGGTGGGCTAGTGGGGAGAGAGGTTGCATTATGGTCATCAGGTTCCTTTCATGACGGCTGAATCTGGGCCAGGATTTCGGGAGACCCCGTGCGGTGACACTAGGCAGCACAGGCTGGGAGCTAGAAAACCCCACAGGATCTGCCTATGTCCAGCCGCCTGAATAGAGAGTCCCCTTCATAGCCCCTGTGGCATGTCCCGGCTCTGCTCCGCCGAGGTGACCGAGCCGTGCTCTCTCCTTTCCCCCGCGCAGTTCAAGTCGGAGGAGCTGGGCCGACGGGCCCCGCAGTGGGTGCGGGACAAGCTGGTGACCATGTGCATGCGCTGCAAGGAGCCTTTCAACGCCATCACGCGCAGGAGGCACCACTGTCGGGCCTGTGGCTACGTGAGTGACCCCACTGCCTCCTTGTAGGACCAGCCCTTTGGAAGGGCCAGCGAGGGGTCCGACTCCCCGTCCCCCGCACAGGAAGGGGTCACACAGTTCCCTTTGCAGGGGGCAGAGGAGGGAGAATAAAGCCCCTCGGTGGGGGGTGGGGGCGGCTAAGGGTCACCAGGAGAAGGAAAAACCCTTCCCCACAGGGATTCCCCACCAGGGGCCGGGGGATCGCCTGTTTACTGGTGGCGTGGGGAAAGAGGTGGGTGCTGTCCCTCAGGGCCCCACGGTGCCCGGCTCAGCCCCTCCCTGCCCCTGATCAGGGTCTCTCTCGTGGGGCAGGTGGTGTGCGCCCGGTGCTCCGATTACAGAGCTCCGCTGCAGTACGACAGGAACCGGCCCAACCGCGTCTGCCTGGAGTGTTACGTCTTCCTGACGGGGCATCTGCTGCCTGAGGAACGAGAGGGGAAGCACAAGGGGATCCTCGAGGTGAGGCTGCAGCCGGGGAGGCCTCTTGCTCCGCAGTCTGTCTCTGGTTTCTTCCGCGGCTGCCCCTTTCCAGCCCTGCCCGCTTCCTGCCCCGGGGTCTCTGGCTTGCTCCTTCCCTCCTGCAGGGGAATCCGCGGCTACGTCAGCTCAGCTGGGTTCATGTCAGGCACAGCACTCCCACACTGCTGTGGCGGTCACCAAGTGGGGTGCTTTGGTGAGCTGCCCCTTGCCTCTGGGAAGCCCTGAGCAGGGGATTTCATTGGGCCCGTCTGCCCACCAATCTGCGGGGGGCGGGCGTTTTGCCTTTGTGTTCCCTGCATTACAAACGCAGGGATCGTGCTTGCTTGTCCCACCCACTGTGCAGCATGGGTTAATCATTAGAGCAGGGACCTGTCAGGCGGGAGTCCTGGGCTTTCTTCCTGCCTCTGCCACTGGCCTTGGGCATGTCACCTGTGAGCTGCTGGTGCTCATCGCCAGCCACATTTAAGTCAGTGGGAGTCTGGGGTGCTCAGCACCTCTAGGAATCAGGCCAAGCGCCTCTCCGTGCCTCAGTTTCCCCATCTCTATACATTCAGCCATTCACCTCTGGGTGCCCCAGATTCCCCAGTTATAAGGGGAGGGCAGGAATATCGACCTACTGCACATCGGGGTTTGTGAGGCTTGCGAGCTCCTGATGGGGAGAAGGGGCAGCTGGTTCTGTCCCTCCTGGATGACTGGGTTTCGCTGGCCCATGGTGTGGCACACTCCCTCCTGCGGCTGCTTGGGCTGGAGTTAAGGTTGCGTGGTGAGTGCTGTGACCCAGTGTTTCACATTTTGGAGCTGTCTTAGCCCTGGGGTGGGTCGCGAACTCCACAAGCCTCTCCTGGCTACCATACCTTGGCTGTGACTTCCCAGGGGAAAGGAGAGTGCTCTGTCCATGGTGCTGAACTGAGGCTGGCACAGAAAAACCCACCTCTACCCCCACAAATCTCCACGCAAACAGACCCACGCAGAGACACTGACACACACAGAGACACCACTGCTCACACGCAGACCCTCACCCCCATGTGCGCCTGCATTGACATGGCCACACAGGACTGTTCACACCCATTGACGGACCCATGTGTGCGGAGACAAGGTGGGGAAGGCGATATCTTATTGGACCAGCTTCTGTTGGTGAGGGATACACACTTTCGAACCACACAGAGCTCTGCTTCCGGTCTGGGAAACTGGCTCAGAGTGTCACAGTTCGAGGCAAGAGGGAATGGCTTGTTTAGCATAAGTAGTGACCACGTATTTCTAGGTATGTACCCACAGACACGTGTACGCACACGTGCATTTGAACACAGAAATATACACACATGTGCACCTGCAGACACACGACTGCACCCATCCGTGGATATCCATGCATAGGCAAACACAGATACATAGACGTGTGTGCGCACATGAACACACAAATGTGGATGCAGCGGTTGTCCCACGGCTAATGGGATAGGCTCAGACCCGCTCCAACAGAATAAGGCGCCTTTCACCTTAGGATCTATTCCAGACTAGTTCCCAGTGAGGTGGTCAGATCTGGGCACTTGCCCTCTCCATGTTCCTCAAAACAGCCTGGGTTTGCTCTTCTTGATTCATTCAGAGCCCTCTTTGACATGGTAACAGATACAAACCCACCCACCGAATTTGGATCTGAAGCCTGGGGGACACAGCATGGCTGAGAAGCAAGGGCAGTGATTTCAGCCACTCTCCGGTGCAGCAACCTCCCTGGAACCCCGGGGTCATGATTGTCCACAGTCCCCCTGTGTACTGTGCGTCCCAGGAGCTAAAACGCGTCAAGCTGGCCGGGTGCTTGGATGGGAGTGTCCAGTAATGGGCTGCTGCTTCACTAGGTGGCACTCTACTCTCCTAGTCAGTACTGAATGTAGTGCACCAGTATGGCACTAGGGGGCGCTGAGCTTTCCAGGTTCCAGAATTTGGATGAAAAACATCAATCCAAGGTGCTGCTTGATCATGGTCATTAAAACTCTCAGGCAGTGTTTAACAGGTGGGATGTTAGACCCAGCATCCAGGCCATATTCCAGCAGGGACTGTTACATTCCACCAGCCTTTCGATCGCCTCCTTGTTCCAACCGAAAATGGGATTTTTCACAACTTGTACAAAGCTCTCACGTTGCCATGCCATGTTAAACAGCTGCTGCTTTCCACCCCAGAGATGGGTGCATTTCAGCCGTGGGTGAAACAGTCCCTATGGACTCTGTACATCGGTTTGCCAGGTGCTTTAGGACCCTAGAGGATAAAAGGTGCTTTATAAAGACAAACTGTGAGAACATAGGATTTGCCAGACTGGATCAGACCCTCTGTCCCATCTCTGACAATGGCCAGAACCAGATGTTTCAGAGAAAGGTGGAAAAAAATTTATAGTGGACAATTTTGCTTATGCACTAAAGTGCCTATGAGGGATGCTTCTTCCTGACCTGAGGCAATGGCTGGCTTGTGCCCTGAAGCAGGAGGGTTTATAATCCTTCTAAAACATTACCCTCTGTACTGTGGGTAGACACAAATGCCTAGCTCTCTTTGGAAACCTATTAAGCTTTTTGCCTCTGTGATATCATGTGGCAGTGAGTTCCACAGGTCAAAACTTCCCTCTGCCTTTGTATTAGCTCACTAGGAAGCCTCAGGGTAAGCCTGAATCCATGAGCGTGTGGAAGGATTATAAAGGGGGGTTCTTGGTTTCTTGGCAGAAAGAATCAGCGGAAATCTCGGGGCAGAGCCTGATGTGCAGTTTCCTGCAGCTGTTGGATAAGAACGGGAAAGGGGGAACGCGGGGCTGGTTCGTGATCCCACAGGACGACCCCCTGGTGCTGTACATGTATGCGGCACCCCAGGTAGGCGAGGGCTTGGTTCTCCTATTGCATTTGTATTGAGACCCTGCTCGAGTTGCAGCAGCCTGGCAATTCGTCTGAGTTGTGCAGCGTAAAGCTGGTGCTGGCTGTCTCCACTGGAGGGAGGGAGCAAATACTGACGCTAACAAGCCTGAGCCCCTGTCTGTCCTTCCCTCCCTCCAGGATGTCAAGGCTCACACCTCCATCCCCCTGCTGGGCTACCAGGTGAAGGAGCCGCCCCAGAGTGACCCCCGTCACCTCTTCCAGCTGGTCCAGTCCAAGCAGACCTACACATTTGTGGCGGAGACGGAGGAGCTGAAGCAGCGCTGGATGAAGATCATGGAGCAGTCAGCCAGGGGCAATGCTCCTCTCTCTGGAGAAGAGGAGGAGGAGGAGGAGGATGACTCATTCGATGACCTGGAGTGATTGGGGCTCTCGGCAACCTCTTCTAGGCTGTCTATGGATGACTCCAATCCTTCATGTCGGAGAACTCAGACAGCAAGATCTAGTGGTCACAGCAAAGTGACAGGGACTCAGGAGACCTGGGATCCTATCCCCAGTTCTGTTGCTCACTTGCTGTCAACTTGGGCGAGTCACTGGACTTTTTTTTGTGCCTCAGTTCCCCCATCTCTGCAGTGGGGATGATGGTACTTACTAACCTTTGTAAATTGCTTTGAGGTTTATCAAGGCAGGGCAGCATAGCCCTTACTGTTCCCATTGCCCAGACCACACTGCAGAGGAAGGTGTGATTGGAGCAAGTAGTAAAAAGTAATGTCGTTTGGCACCATGGGCGAGCAATCCAAGTACATAGCCAGGCTCCCTGGCAGACTTATACACGGGTCGCTAGCCCATGCCACCGTGTCTACATGGCTATTGTAAGCCGTGCTAGCTAGATGGGCAGGCTAGCTAGGTGTGGAGGCCAGTAAGCCTCTGCCTCAGGCAAAGATGGCTCAAGCTGCAGAGTTTGGATCCCGCGGAGAAGGAGCCATCTGCAAAATTCAGATGTGACAGGAGGGTGGGATTTGGATCCGTGAGCAGAGCCTTTCTAGAGGATCTGACAAATGCCCCAGGACCCAGTGGGCAGTCCTCTTGGCTAATTAGCCATCCGCCTCTTTGTGGGAGGAGGGGAATGGGCTGGAGGAAGCTGGGGAAACAGACAAGGAAGGAGGCTGAGATGAGGGAGGTGCTGCTGGAGTCATGGAGGGGAGGGATTGGATGACCAAATAGAAGTGGGAAGAGATGGGATGGGGATGGGGGGGCCCATGGCAGGAGGTTCCTCCCATGATTAGCTTAACCCAGCCACTCCAGCTGGGTGGGAACCAGGTTTCCCGTCCTGCAACAATTTTTCAAGAGATCAAAACATTTTCCCACCCTGAATTGGAATGAAAAGTTGAAATCTTGAAAAATGTTGTAAACCAAAAATGTGGAGGGGGGAAAAAATACCCAACCGCTCCCGCCTCCCTCCAAAAGCAATCGGTTCAGGTCAATCAATGTTTTGTTCCACTTCGGACAATTTTTCATCTTCTTACCTTTATTTCATTATCATTAGCTTGCATTTCAAACGAAAAGCTGCTTCAAACCAGAACTTTTGGTTTCGAAAATGTCCAAATGAAATGCGGTGACAGCTTTGAAACTGTTTTCCTTTTTTTTCTTCGAGTTGAAAAAGTTGTGGAAACTGCCCCTTTCCCGGGAGAAGTTTTGGTTTCGACAAATTGGCGTTTTCTAGTGAAAAACGTTTCACTGGAAAATTCCCAACCAGTTCGTCCTCCCATCTTCCAGTGAGAGAACTGGTAGAATTGCAGTTCTAATGGGTGATCCGTCATTCCACCAGTTGCCACCAGAGAGCAGTAAAACCTAACTGCTCTGCTGTACTTGGCTGTGCTAAGAGTATAGATGTGACTTCTATTCACCTTACTCTGGGGGAGGAGATCTTAAACTTTTTTAGCACCGCCGCAAAGGGAGTGATAGTGGTGACAAACCTCAAGGGCGATGAAGCGCAGTTTCATTCAAGCCTTTACTTTGTCTTACTTTCTTGGTGAGTTTCCTGGGCTGGTGTGATGGAGATTCTGGTACCGCTCTCCATGTCTGTAGCATGGGGGAAGGGGCTGTGCATATACCAAGGTAGGGCTCTGCCAGTGCATGCCAACAGAACCTGCAACTGTCCCTGGCCTGGGACCTCACACACCCCAGCCAGTGCACCTCCTCTGGGCTAGAGTTGCAGCACTCTTTGCTAGTCCAGTTCTGGGACCCCACAGCTCGGCCAACACACTTTATTCCTGACTAACTACTCCTGCAATTTCTGTCTTAGGCTCCCCACCTTGCTCTGTCAATGCACCCTAATTCTGACTTGCAGCAGTCCTGGGACCCCCAAATATCTCCCACAGTCCCCCTTGATCCTGAACTGCAGCATGCTCTGCTATTCCATTCCTGGGACCTCCTAGGGCTTTGTCGAGTCACGCCCAATCTGCAGCCCACATGCTTTTCCACGCCTGGGACCCCACACAGCTTTACAAGTGCCCCTCAATCCTGACCTGCGGCACCCCTTGCACTTCTCTCCTGTCCTTCCATGCCCTCTAGGGTGACCAGATGTCCCCCCACCCCCATCCTGATTTTTCACACTTGCTGTCTGGTCACCCTAACGCCCTCTGGGATTGTAGTCCTGTTTCTCCCTCAATCCCAGCCAGCCAACTGCACCAGACCTCTCCTGGGACCTGGAGTCAGGGCAAGCAGCTGCTGCCATTTGGGTGACAAGCTTGGGATATGAACCAGCTCAGCTATGCCGAGCTGAGCAGGTAGGGATGGTGCTAACTCGCTGGGCCAGCCAGACTATGGGAGAGGGGCCGGGGAGAGCAAAGCGTTGCTTTTCTTTCAAGACAAAGGTAAGGTCATTAGTCTGCGTATTAAGGTAGCAGCTAGGGGTTGTGCTCAGGGCCCCACTATGCGAGGTGTTGCACACACGTAACAAAGAGACAGTCCCTGCCCCAAAGACCTTACAATGGACGTATAAGATGAGCACCAATAGGTGGATGCAACGAATGGGAAGCACGAGAAAAGAGGGAGACAGTGATAATCAGCAGGACGAGCAGTGGCCATGGCATACCGGCTGCCTGAACAATGCCAAGTTCATTGTAGGCAGAGGAGAGTTTTAGGAAAAGCTGTAAATATTCGCCCAAGGACCTACCCCGAGAAAGAAGAAGATGCCTGGCCTGGAATTCCTTCAAACAGAAGGAAGTACTTCTTCATATAATGCACAGTCAACCTGTGGAACTCCTGGCCAGGGGGTGTTGTGAAGGCCAAAAGTATAACAGGGTTCAAAAAAAAAGAAATAAGTTCCTGGAGGATAGGTCCATCAATGGCTATTAGTCAAGATGGTCAGCGATGCAACACCACGCTCTGGGTGTCCCGAGCCTCTTGACTGTCAGAAGCTGGGACTGGATGATAGGGGATGGATCACTCCATGTTGTGTTCATTCCCTCTGATGCACCAGGCATTGGCCACTATCAGAAGACAGGATAGTGGGCCAGATGGACCATTGGTCTGACCCAGTATGCCCGTTCTTATGTTCCACCAGCCTCCCTGCCTATCCCAGCGAGTCAGGGAGGGGCAAGTGATAGCTGCTTTGTGACCTCTCTGGGACATACAGGATCAGAAATGATTAGTCCCTGGAAGCCCAGGATCGCACAGAGGGATCAAAGATTGACCCGTCCTTGTTAGGGCTGGAATCCGGTTGCCGGGCTAGGAAATTAGAGCTTCACTTAAAGTGGAGGTTGGAAATCAGGGCAATCTGGAGAGAAGACAGAACTCCCGTGTGCATGGGGAACAGGAGAAGGTCTGTAATGTGCCTTCTTCACACTGGGGGGCAGCACAGAGCACAAAGCAGAGCGGGGCAGAGCCGAGAAGTGGCGCCGGCGCCTTTGCGGGCAGTGATGGGTAAAAAGCAAAAGGGCTGAAGGATGGGGGTGAAGGTCCAAGCTGAACCGGGTTGCAACTCCCGTGCTCCGCAGCCCGGCCCTGTGGTGAATGGGCGCGAGAGGAGTGGGCAGTTGCCGCAGCGAGGCGGTGGTCCCTCCTGGGCTCTGCTCCCAGGCTGGTGGAGCACGGCCCCCAGCCCGCTCACCCCGGTCATACAGAGCTACTGCTGCAGAGACAGCCAGTGCCCGCACGCACTGCCCCTTGGCTGGAGAGGGGAACGCTCGGTTTCCACAGCCCAGGCAGGCTTTGGCCTCCGCTGAGATGCCCCTCTCTTGCCAGCCCCGCCCTGCCCCACCTTGCTCCTCCACATCTGGCCCTCCCCTTCCATCTGCATCCCGTGCCCCCCTTCCCCAATATATGGGCCCCATCCCTCTTCTCTCTTCACCCTGGACTTCTCAGGCACCAGGGAAGCCTCGGCCCCTGGCCAGCCTTGGAAACTCCCCCTTGGCTGTGGTGGGCGGGGAGTGGGTGCGGGGGAGTAGGGGAAGCCGGCAGAGCTGGAGCATCTCCCCTGGCATGCTTTCTGCTTGGCATCCCTCTGCATGTGAGAGAGAAACCAAACAAGCTCCTAGGGCCAGGCTGTCATTAGCCGGCTCATGAACGGGTGCCTCGTAAACAGACTTCCTGTTTACCGGGGCCCGTAAAATGCAGAAATTGTGTCCAGACCAAAGGTCAACCTGTTTCTATTTTTACATTCATCCATCCATCCCACTCCTTGTGCTTTACAATCTAATCCCTGCCTGCCCCTGCCTGAGTCCCGTAGCTGCTAGGGGCAGGGCCGGGCCAGGGAAAGCTATTGCAGTAGCGGCCAATGCGTGCCTGGTGCTGTACGGCCCCACTGGGAGGGGCTATTCTGGAGCTGGCCACCTATAAAGCCCATAGCACGGCCACAGGCTGCCCTCCCGTGGGGCAGTCAGCCTGTTCGCCCCTCGCTGAAGAGATGGACGTGACCATCCTCCTAGTCACCGGGGGTGGGGCCACCGGAGGGATTGGGGCCAGTCAAGAGGGAATGGATACAGAGAAACCAGGGCGGGGGGCCAACACATCAGGGAGGGGAGCCAGGGGGAGCAGCAAGCAGAGAATGGCAGAGGCAAGGGAGTGAACCATCATGCCAGCACCTTGCAATGGGAGCAGGGAACCATGGGATAGCCTTGCTGCAGCCTCCTGATTGGGTCTGTCCGACTCCTGCAGCTCGCAACCTGTGTTGAAATCCTCTGGGAGCCTTGCCCCACCCTTCTCCTGCCTGCAGCCCATCACCCCTCCCAGGTCTACCTGCCTCTAGCTCCACCCTCTCTCCTTCCCCCCCCCCCATGTCTATGCTCTCCCAGCTGTTACTGGAGCAATTCACAGCCTGTTCCAAGATGCAGATGTGCACAGCTGCCAGGAACCCACAGCTCCACCCCGCCTGGTGTCCTTAGGCCAGAACATATTAGCTAATCTCTTGGCAACACCATCTGTCCCAGAAGCAGCATCAAGCCACTAGCCCTTCCTGTTACTGGAAGACATCTCCAGAAGCGCGGGGCGGGGGGGCCTGCTCCATTTAGAGGCTTGTGGTTTAAACCTAGAATTCAGTGGAATCCATCCCAGCTCTTGGCCTCGCAGCCCAGAAGGGACCACATCACGTGCTAAGGAACCCCCAGCAGGACAAGCTGTCAAGGTGAAACTTTGCTAATCAAGAGTTGTGCTAGGTCCCAGACCCTCTGTGGATTCGAACGGGCAACCCAGCTGCGTGAAGAAAAGATCCTTGATGATTCACCTGTTCTTCCTGCTGCTGGGTCTGCACCTGAAGATGTTCTGCTCTCCTGTAATTAGCTGCCATGGAGATGGTGCTGATGACACACAGCCAACGAAGGCTCCAGGTGGAGAACAGGCAGCTGGAGCAGATGAACAGTGAACCTGAGCAGCCCAGCCCCTGTTGTCGCACAAACATCCCAAGTCATAAATGACAAGGGAAGCGGCTGGTTGGTTACCCTTCATTATCGTTCATTTTCCCTGCTGCGCCTGCACTTGTGTTGCCGGGAGCTGCTGCCGTCAAAGCACCAAGACTCAAGAACTAGGAGCTCTGGTGAGCCCTTCTGCACTGCCTGGGTCTCCACACTAAAATCCCCAAGTCCTGTTCCGGCATGCACTGGGCTCAGTGTCAAAACGGGTTTCCCTGGGACCCAGCCTTTGCTCCAAAGTCCTGGGGCGGAACATGGAGGGGATGTCCTCAGGTTCTTGCACTAGTTTCTAGGCTGGGGAAGTGGCAGAAATCCAGGCCCCACCCTGCAATGGGGTCTGCTCAGATGGACCGTTATGCCCAGGTGGTGTCCCATTCACATGCTGCCTGGAAGATGCAATCAGAGAAGGGGTCTCTGGGTAGGAGGCCATTGTCAAGGCCTTTGCTGAGGCACGTGCTGTCTGTGTCTGTTCTCCACACACAGGCACAAGGGGATCTGACAGCAGGATCGGGGCCCTGAGAGCAGTGGGGCTGTGGGAACGTGCCCAGCGTTGGTTCTGTTGCTCCATTTCATGTAGAAATTGTTGCCGTTTTGTCCCTGGTCCAGGGTGGTGGGGAGTTTGGGTGGAATGTCCATTTTCCACCCCAAAGGTCTCGGGTTTTCAAGGTCAAGGGTCTTTGGT